CCTGGCTGCCAGGTATTCCCTCCACAGCAGCCAGCTTCCCGGCCGCCGCCGCAGCACCGCGTCCCACTTGGCGCGCAGCGCCTCCGGCTCCGCGCACTGCGCGTACGCGCGCAGCAGCGCGAGCAGCAGGCGCTCGCTGCCGGGGTGGTGCTCGAGGCCGCGCTGCAATATCGAGACCTGCTTCTCCGCCGGCGGCGCGTCTTGGGGCCTTTGGGGGGCCGGGCCAGGGGTGTCGGAGAGGGTCGGGGAGGGGGCGAGGACGGGAGGCCGCGGCTGCGTGACAAGGGTTGTGCTGGAAAAGAATTGTCCAAAAGGCGGCGTACGCAGGTGCGCCGGGCAGCTGCCCCATGGAACCGCAACCACGCATCCAGTAGCTTGCTGCCGGCAGCTGCTCGAGCTTTGAGAGCCCTGAAACGTGCCGTCTCCACAGACCAAGTCCAGCCCTGCCCCGCTCAACGCACCCCTCCGCCGCTGCCTCCGCCGAGCAGCACCCCACCGTGCCCCAAGTGGCGCGCGCGCGCGCACCTGCGCCCCAGCAGCCGCGCTGCGTGCTCCTGGAACTCGGCAAAACCCAGCCACAGCCGCTCCTCCTCGGGCCGCTCCCGCAGGGCCACGTTCCACTCGCGGGTGCGCCGCAGCACAAACTCTTCGACGTCCTCCCCTCTTTCCAACAGTAGCTGCTCTGGCCCTCTCCTGCCGGCGCCGTCGCCGCCTCCGCTGGCCGCGCCTTGCACCCGAAACCCCTCTGGGCTCCCGGGCCACCGCGGCGCGCCCTGCCGCGCGGTGTCCGCCGCGGCGCCCAACGGCACATACGTCGGCAGCGGCAGCCCCATGCCGCCGCCGCCACCGCCTGGCTGCGGCTGCCAGCCGCCCGTTCGCTGCCGCCCGCCCGCGAGCGCGGCCGCCGCCGCCGCTTCCGCGGCTGCCGCGCGCTCGTCGCCCAGCCGCACCCGCCGCGCCTTCTTGTTTCGCTCCTGCAGCGCCCATCGCCCCTGGAAGTACCGCGGCCCGCCGCTTTGCGCGCCCGCCTCGCGGTCGGCGGCCGCAGCGGCGGCGTCGCGCTGCCACGCGTAGCGGAGGCGCGTGTCTCCCAGCAAATTCAGGGGGTCGACGCGGCTGAACCGAGGGACGTCTCGGGCGTACAGGCTCTGATATGTGACGTTTGCAGGGTCACCAGCTGTGTCCAGCACGAGCTCGAGGGCGCCGCCGCCGCCGCCGTCGCGGGACCCGCCGCCGAGCGGAAGCGCCAAAGCGGGGCCAGGGGCGGCGGCGGGGGCGGCGCCGTGGCGGCGCTCCAGCTCCTGGATTTTCTCAAAGTCGCTGCGGGGGCGGCGCCGGCCGCCGCTGGCGTCTTTGTGTTTTGATGACCGGCCCCCGCTGCGGTCTCTGCTTGACCTGCGGTGCTTTTTCTTGGCTTTGTCTCTGTGCTGTTCCTTTCGGCGCCGTTTTTCGCCTCGCCCACGCCCATCGCTGCTGCTATCGCGGCCGCCGCCGCCGCGCTTGGTGGCCGCGGCGCCGCCGCTGCCGCCGCTGGCGGCCCCGGCGTCGCTGTCGCTGCCGTGTGACGAGGACGACAGCAGGCCTTGCGCTGCCTGCAGCAGCAACGCGCGGCGATCCGCGGTCGGCGCGCCCGCCACGGCCTGCTGTGAGGCAGCCTGCTGCGCCTTGAAAAATCCGCTTGCATCAAAACTACTTGCTCCAGTTGTTCCTACGCCGTGAGGGTCCGCCATTCGGTGAGGCCGAGATCAACCGCGAGATCGGCAACACGCTTCCATTGATTATATGCACCAACTAATACACGCAATGCATGCAAAGCTGGGGTCCTGAGCTGGCGAAGTGCGAGACTGCTGCTTATGGGTAACACACCTGACGGCCAGAGCGTAACTAGCGGCGGCACCAGCGCATGGCGTGTGTTTGCGGTCGCTCCACATACACGAGACACTGATCCGGGCCATTGGCGGAAAGTGTTATGGACAGGAATTATCAATCATTTTGCCAGCAAGCTTCAAAGCTTGGTCAACCCCTGGGTCAACTCCTGGGTCAACGCTTGAACCAACCAGAGCCTGATAAATCGTCTTTGCAAAACTGGATGTTTCCAAAAAAACACCCTATCAAGTTTCATGCAATTACAAACCAGAACTTTAGCTGAAACCTCGAGCCATTCAGGTCAAGAGGTTGCAGGTGATTGATGCCACAAATCACCCACCCCAACACACGCGCTGGTGCCATGAAGGATTTGCGGCGGCAGCTCCAGAGGCTTTTGCAGCAGGGATTGAAACATGGTGGATATAGATTATCACGGGTGCCTGTCTTTCATACAGGTGGGTGTTGCTCACATGCCAGCCACGGGCTAGTGCAAGAGGATCGGGTGCAGGGGGGACCTTGCACAGTGCAGGGGGGACCTTGCCCAGAGCCTCCCCCAGCACCCTGATACATGCTTCAACATGATTGTCGCGACACCCTGCACCCCGATCTTCCGCAGCGAGTAGGAAAGGACCTGCATTGTTGCTTACAAGTACCATGCATATCAGGAGGCAAGCTAGGCCACACTACGCACTTTCAGTAAACCTCAGCAGTCAAAGTTGCCAGTGGGGGCCCCTGGCTTGCGTGACATGCAGCCCAGGAAGTACGCACAAGGGGGGGTGCAGCACAACATGTTCACTTGCGTCATGCACCCGTTCTAAACCCCAGCTTGTCAAAACAACGTCTGCAACCCATCAACGCAAGTGCGAGCACAGTGGCACAGGTAAGGGTCCTGACCAGAAGGTCCGTCAAGCACAAGCTGGAGGAACGGTGAAACGCGCCAGCCAGTCTGGCACACTGAGTGGGCCAAGCGGAAGGGGGCAACACCAGCTGCAGTCCAGCGGCAGGCAGCAATAGTAGGCAAGCTCCGCTCACTGCGCAAGGGGATTGATGGCGAGGGACACGAGCGGGCACGGCAGGGTGACGTGGGTGCAAGTCACTAGCCAACGATTTTACTGAAGCGCCAGCAGCAGGCATCAGAGAGTTGCCGGCAGCAGGAATCCTGCAGACCCTGATGCGTTTGTGCGGCGGCCCCCTGCTCCCTCCCCCCCACACCGCTGCAGCCTCCTGCATTGCCGACGCATCTGGCACCATCTTGGCCTCGGGCGCCGCCACAGCATCAGCCTCGGCAGCAGCAGCAGCCTGCGCCTTGCCCTTTCCTGCGCTGCCGCCCTCTGCCGCCCGGCTGCCCGCCCCCTGGCCCTCCGCGCCGCCGCCCGAAGCCCCCCCGGCCTGGCCGTCCACGCCGCCACCCGCTACCCCCTTGTCGGGCGCGCCCTCGCTGCCCGCCGCGCCGCCCTCTGCCCCCTGGCCAGCCGCGCCCTGGAATTCCACGCCGCCACCCTCTGCAGCCTGGCCCTCCGGCCCCTCCTGGCCCCCCACTCCGCCAATCTCTGGCCGCTGGCCCGCCGCACCCTCGCGGTGCGGAGGGTCAGGCTGGCCCTCCAAGCCACCCTTTTCACCTTCAAGGTGAGGGGCAAGTTGAGCCTCCGCCCCCTCGCCCTCCACTTCGCCACCCTGCGCCCCCTGGCCCGCCGCCCCCTTGCTGTCCACGCCACCACCCTCTGCACCCTGGACTGCTGTGCCCAGGCCCTCCATGCCACCACCCCCCACACCACCACCCTCGCCCGCGGAACCCTCGCCCCCAGGTGCGCTGCCGCCCTCCTGCACCTTGCCGCCCTCCTCGCCCTCGCCACCTGCAGCCTGCTGGTCTGCCGCCGCCTGCGCGTCGCTGCTGTCCCGCCGGGCCTGCAGCGCGATGACAATGTCGCCATCGCCGGTTTTCAGGTGCTTGCAATAGGACACGTCAGCAACGTGACTATTTGGAGGTGTCAGTGGTAGTGTCACGTAGAGTTATTGGACCCAGGGCAGGTGCATGTGCACGACGGTGAGCAAGGGCCGTCGCCCGTCCCACCTTCTTGCTGATCGGCGGCTGCCGCTTGCCCCTTTTTGTGCCCTTGACCTTGCGGGCTGCGACACCCTCGAACTTCGCTGTCACGGTCTTCTGCGCGTACGTTCCACAGGCATCCAAGGGGGCAAGAGAGCACGTAGTGTGCTCAGCAGGGTCCGCAACCATGCTGCCAGCCTGGGGCCGCGTGCGGCGGCTACCGCACACATGGCTGCGCACGACCCCAACGCCCCAAGCAGCTGCCAGCACGGAGCTGGAAGGCTGGGCTGCCGCCACACGGGCGGGCTGCTCATAATTCTTACAGCAAACCCACAGCACTGCGCCACAATGTAGTGTCACGGAGAGCTGGCTGCATCCAATGGAGACAAGCGTCATTGTTGCGATGGAGCAGCCCAATCACCTGGTCAGCATCCTTTAGCCCAGGCAGGCCCTCCAGGTATTCGATTTTGCCGACGTTGGCAATCAGGCGCTCCGTGGCGCAACCCCTGGTGCATATAAAATTCAAGAGAGTGTTTTGGGCCGCGGTTTGAGCATGAGGCCAGGGCAGCGGCATGCAGGGCAGGAGACGGCGGTGTCCACAACCGCCCAGGGATATGGTAGGATCCGGGTGCAGAGGCTGCAGCGCACCAATGCCGCCAGGTGGTGGACTTGCGGGTCTTGGTGTGTGCCGTGCTTCCAAAGATGAGGTCGCCCTACAAGAGTGGGGCGATCCGTGAGGGTGGGCGGGATGTGGGTGTGTAGCAGTGAGACGCCCAGGCGTTGCGAGCAGGCGCCATCGCACGCACCTTCTGAATGGTGCGCTTATGGTTGTGCAGCTCGAGGCACATGACCTCCGGGCCTGCACACTCGACGGGCTCCCTGCGATGATAGACCAAGGCAAGCGAGTTGGCCAGCGGAGGGCGCGGATTGCCTGCCAGACCACACCCGTTTATGTGGGTACACACTCTGCATAGTTGACCACGTAGGTTGTGTAGGAACTCTTTTCTTTCGACATCCCGTGCTGATCCGCTGGTCCCCACGCAAGTCGGGCCGGTCTCCTCGCCGTCGACAGGGAGCGTTGTTGTGCTGTCTGTGACCTCAAAATGACACAGAAGGCCGAATAAGTGCATTTCAGTCCGGTGCCTCACTGGTAACGTGTGCGCGGCCAGTGGCTCATGACTGTCATCGCACAGCACGCTCAGCACAGATATCCGAGCCAGTTGCTATGATGCAGCTCGCACAATCTCCAGACGGTGCGCTCTTCAAATAACTTTCACAGCCATCAGGAAGGAGGGCGCCGACACAATTGGCAGTGTAGCGATCCAAGCGCGTTGGGGGTTGATCTACTTGATTGATGCTCTGAAGTATCACAGCATGGGTGCGCTGAACCTCCCAGCCGACTCACAAGCCCACGCACACGAAGCAAATCGACACATCTTTCACAATAACTCTCATCATACCATCAAACCTCAGCTCAAAGAGGGCAGCTCAATCTGCAGACCGTCTGCGGTCACGACGGGCGCGGCGCCGGCGGCGCCGCGGCCCTGGCCAGGCCCCGCGCCCCTCCTGTCCACCTCGCACAATTCCAGCAGCTGCCCGACAGATGCCGCCCCTTTGTCGACAACCGCCTCCAGAAACTCCCCCAGGTCGCAGTCTGTCCCGCCGCCGCAAAACGGCGGCGCCAGCACCTGCTCGTTGTGCACGAACCGCACGACGTGGCGCGCCGGGCGGCTGTCTGATTGGTACAACACCACCACCAGGTTGCCCCCAAGCGGCGCCACGCGCCCACCGCGCCACTCGCGCCCGCCGTCGTTGGGCAGCGGCTCCCAGCCTGGCGGGGGCGCGAGGGGGCCGCCGGCAAGCTCTCTCCCCTTGTACGCGCACCCAGCCGCTCGCGGGCCATGCTTGTGGCGCAGCCGCCCGGCGCCGTCGCCGCCGCTGCTGCCGCCGCCGCCGCTGCTGCTTCTGCTGCTGCTGCTGCTGCTGCTGCTGCTGCTGGCACCCAGGTGGCTCTCCAGCCCCCAGCTGTCCGTGCTGCCCACGCTCGTCTCACTACCGTTATCCAGGGCACCGCCACCGCCGTCGCTCAAGCTGCTGCTCCCCACGCCGCCGCTCCCAGCGTCAGCCAAACCATCGCCATTGGCGCCGCCGCTGCTGCTGCCACTGCGGGTCTCCGCCAGCCGCCGCGCCACCGCCAGCGCAGCGTCGTCCACAATCGAGTCCACGCCCCCCACCTCCTGCTGCGCCTGGCGCGGCGAGACCACTGGCGCCCCTGGGGCCGCTGCGGATGCCCTCCCTGACAGCTGCGCCTTGAACAGGCCGAGCAGCGTCAGGAGAGGCGTCAGCGTCTCACAGTGCCTGCGCGCCGCAAAGCAACGGCGTTATGTTGGTCAGGGTTGAAGGGTGAAACCGGCCGCACAGCAAGAGGTAGCTCATGCTGTCAAATTGGATTGAATTGGAATAGATTGCATTGGTTTGGAATGGATGGGCGCGCCAATCCGCCCTCGAGCGTGGACCAGACAGAGGTGGGCCAGGCCCTCACGCCGCAGCAGGACCGGTCATGAGGTGCAGAAGCTCACGCAAAGTGCAGCCGCGCCAGCTGCAGCGGCTCCTTGCCGGCGGCGCTGGCTTGCGCAGCGCCGCGGAGGGACGCGCCCAGGTCTGCCAGGAGCACACCCGCGATCCTGAGCGGCAAGGGCAGGTGTGGTGGTGAGGCATGGGGCACGCGATTGAAACGACTCACGGCCGACGAAATCCAATGGACGTTTGCTGCTCGCTTGTTTGATGTGTGCAGCAACGCAGAGCTTGTGGCCTGGTGCCAGGCGGCCGAACCGAGCGGCGCACGAACCCCAAAGCCGGTGCGCGCAGGACACCTGCTGTTGATGTCCGCCCCGGGCCCCTGCGTCTCATACAGCCGCACGTCTTCCATCCACTCCAGCAGCTCAGCCTCGGGCCGCTCGAACGCGCTGCAGGCGCCGCCCAGGGCGCCGAGCAGGCCGGCCTCGTATGAGCACAGCTGCCACAGCGCTGCAGGGGGGGAGGCGGGGCGGGGACGAGGGCTGCGTGCGAAGGCGCCACCTAATTGCAGTACCAACGATGTAATCAGGCGTCTCAGCAGAGCGGCCAGGGGCTTCACCAGTTGCCTGCTGCTGCTCGGCACCGGCCCGGCGCTTTGCACGCTCCCCACGATCACGGCCTGGAAAAGCGCAGTTCGCGCCCACCGTCGATGTCGCAGGGCTGCGCCGCGCCGCGCGGCAGGCCGAGGCGGCGCTCAACGTCTGGCAGGATGGACTCCCAGTGGTGCCACAGCCAGGGCGCCTAGTAAGATGGTTGAAAGGGGCATGATCAGTGCCAACGGACCGGACCCAATTAAAACAGAGCCCCAAGCAACCTCACGCGACACACCAGCACCACGCAACGCCGTGCCGCGCCCTGACTCGGGCGTCCGCCTGCAAACAGCTCACCAGCCACCGCTCGACTGTGTCCTCGTGCTGCAGGTAGGCTGGGCACACCTGGAAAAACCTCAGGACCGCGTCGCGCCGCTTGGGCAGCATCGACATCGCCACGGGCTGCGGCCGCCCGCCGTTGGCCCCTGCGCGCTGGAAGAAGCCGAGGGCAAACGCCGATGCGCTCTGTGCGGCGCGGGCGACCTGGTGGGGTTTAGGGGGGCGGGGGTTGCCTCTGCGAGGGATGATGTGGGTTCACCACCATGATCAAGTGCTGCACGCCGTCTGCACGACATACGCGCAAGATTTGAGCCCCTGAATCCGCCCCTTTGGGCTTTAACCCCAGGTCAACCACAGCTGCTGCGCTGCAACGCTTGTGGCACGGAGGTCATCCCGGGATGATTCGAACAGCGGGCGCTGCCCCGGGAATGAGAGCTTCGACGCACCTGTGTAGATATAATGGGGTACCGCTTCGGGAAGTAGGGGCGATCCAGCAGGCTGGGAAAGCGGCGGCGCAGGCGCCTGGCCAGTGACATCATCTCGTCCTCCCCTTGGAGAGGCGCCGACAATCCGGGCGACGAGGCCAGCGGGAAGGGCTCTCAGGGCTGTGCGCTATGAGTGCTGCGCAAAGGGGGTGCATGCGTTCGTGAATGTGCAGCAGCTACCACACCATCGTCACAATGCCTGTTCCAAAGAAAAAACCAGGGTGAAAGGAGGGGCACCACAGGCCTCACTCGCAATTTGCCATGCACCTTGCCTGGGACCCCCCCCCCCTATGGTGGATGCACTCTCCGCTCGCAGGCGCACAAAGCCCCACCGATGGGGTGCAGCTCCCCGGCAGCATAGGGGGTGCTGCGCAGCTGGTCTGTGAAGTTACGCGCCCATGGGTGCCGCCGGTGGTCGGCCATCTGCGCGACATGCAACGCCACGCAGCAATCGCGATGCTCGGCCGCATGGGCGCGCAAGGGCGCGCAAGGGCGGTGGCTGCGGCGCTGCCCCCGCGTGGCATGCAGCCGCATGCACATGCGGGCTGCATGGCGGCTCGCTGATGGAGCGCACTGGGCTGTCTCAACGCGCAGCGGGGCGCCAGAGCGCTCCTACACGCCGGTGCGCCCCACCTGCAGCAGCGGCGCCAGGCTGAGCATTTGCGCCGTGCGGTCCGCCGTGGGCCACCTCGTCCCGTGGCGCGCGAGTACGTGGAGGAACACCAAGGAGTGACCCGGCGGATCCGGCAGCTGGTATAGCGAGGGCGCGCCAGGGTGCGGCACGCGCCAGGCATATGGGCTTTTGGTGCTGAGGTGGGAGCGCACGTCCCAGGCCACACTGCGCAACGGCCCCATGGCGGCAGCGAGCCGCGGCACTGTCACATAGGCGAGCAACAACGCCAATCCGATTATTTTATGCCCTTCAACAATACATGTGCAACACAAGCTCCTCATTCAAGCCAGTGGCTGACTCAAGTGCCCTGACAAGGTCGGTGCCGCGTGCAGGTACCGTCTGAAACGGACATCACCAGCTTTAACTTTCGGCGATGATTATCGTGTCGCTTTTTATACCCTGCTGCCCCGGCTGAAATTGCAGCGCAAGATCCCGCCAAATGTTCGAAACAGATACCAGTGTGCACAGAGGACCCAACATTTGCATTTGGTCGCGAAGAAACGCAGCCGGTGACCCGTTACAATCGTGCTCCTCCAGTGTGCAGCGCAAGGACGGCGCTGCGCGTCAGGCGCCTCGCCTGCCGACTGGCAAGCTCGGTGTGCCCAAGCAGCAACAGCAGCAGCAGCAGCATCGTTCGCCGCCCGCGCCAGCAGGCGATTTCACGTGGCGGCAAAGTCCGTCTGCAGAAGAGAAAGGGGGAAGGGGAATGAGATTGGCTTGCACATGGGCGGTACACACGTTGACCACGGTCAATACCGGAAAGGGACCGCACATCCCAGGTGGGCTTTCAAGTGTCACTCGCAACGGGCCCTCCCAAACTCATCCGCCATGTCAGCGTCCCCTCTACACACCTGCCAGATTCTGTTGCACGAGGGCAATGACAGCGTTGGGAGGGGAAGCGAGCAAGGAAGACGGGCAGGCAGGTGAGATTGAGTGGTGGGTCACAGCTGCGAGAAAACAGTACGGAGCAGACACAAGCAAAACCCTGCGGGCAACCGATGATCCTTCACAAATACAGTGACAAGGGCTCACCGTATAGTCCCGTCCTCCGAGCCCTGAATATAGCGGGGGGATGGTTTGAAAGCGGGGTACTCACGCGCAGGGCGATCACCAACAACTGCACAGCACTGGTCCAGGGATGCACCCCCTGCCGCAACGCAGCAGCCTGCCACACAAAGCCCCCGTCCGCCCCCGGCCCTCCTCCCCCCACCCTATTCCTCACCGAGGCGTACTCCTTGCCCTCCGGCCCAAACCGGATGGTGTGCACTGGCCCATGGTGCCCCTTGCAGACCTCCAGCTCGGACCCGTCGTCGTATGAGTGGAGATGCACCCACATGTCGCCGCCGCCGCACGCGAAGCGCCCCTTGGCCGGGCAGTAGCTGGCCGCCTCCACAGGGTAGGCCGCCTTGTGCTGCTTGGCCTCGCGCAGGGCGCCCACGTCCCAGAAGCGGATGGTTGCGCCGTCGGTGGTCGTGAGGAAGCGCCCGTCAAAGGTCAGCTGGGAGGGGGACAGGGGCGGAGGGTTGACAGGTGGTCGTTGGTCGCCGACTTGTTGGGGGGGGGGGGGACTGCGGCACAGACCGGTGGTGGGCGTCTGGGAGATGCAGCAGCTGCTCGATGAGGATGGGCTCGGCACCAGACCCGCCAGGGCCGAAGACGCGCAAGGCGCTTTGCGTCGCATGGCCGCCAATCAAGGGGGTGTCAGCCTGCTCCCAAGAGCTGCGCCTCAGAGCCGCCGCCCGCTGCCTGATGCCGCACCACGCCATCCGCCGCTGGGCAGCCGCCGTCCGGCCGGCGACAATCCCGTGCGCCCCGCGCCGGCCCGGCCCTGGCGCCCACCTCAACGGATGTGACTGGGGCCTCCGTCGCCAGCGTCTGCACAATGCTGCCGCTCCTCACGTCCCAGACGTCCAGCCCCGGCGTGTCCTGCTGTGTCGTGAGCACCAGCGAGTCGCCGTGCACCCACACCACGTTGCGGATGCCCTTCGCGGCGCCGGATAGCTGCTGCGGGGCCGCGTCAGGGCGCTCCAGGTCGTAGATGCGCACCAGCTTCTCCATGCCTGATAATGAGGACGCGGGGGTGCAACATGTGCATGGCCAAAAATGGGAGGACAGCATCGCAAGGTTGGCAAAGGGATAATCATCAGCAACAAGCAGGGATTGGTGCCGTGCCATTGCACGGCTGGTTCAATCAGAAGCTGCTCGGCAAGGCTCTCCCCATCACACTGTCGCTTTCAAGTCAAACGACCCCGTTGCAACCTTCGGCCGCGTTCCCACGCGCGTCACTCAACTCCCTTCCCCCACCCTGCTAAGTGTCGCCGCCCGTGCTGGACGCGGCGCCTGGCGGCACGCGCGCACCTCCGGTCGCGAGGCGCGTGCTGCTGTCGGCGAAGCTGCAGCAGCGCACGATGTGGCCGTGCTGGAAGGACAGCTTCTCCGTGCCGGTCAGGGCGTCCCAAACCTTGGCGGAGAAGTCGGCCGACGCGGTGGCCGCGAGCGTCGCGGTCGGGTCGAGCGCGCACGACCAAACGGCGCCCTGTGGGGCGTGGCGGGGGCGGAGCCAGAGCAGGGGCGCGGTGCTGGACAGGCGTGTCGGAGAGCGGTGGCGCTGCAGGGCTGCGGCCCAACCACAGCCAGATGGTGCAGGTAACTACACGAATTGCTTCGGCGCCACAGGATGGCCCATCCGGCCCCTATACATTCGGGCCGCCCAGCATGGCCCCTCGCGCGCCGCATGTGCTCACTGCGCCCGCAGCGCGCCCACCTTGTGGCCGATGAACGTGCCAATCCAGTCGCCAGTGGGGCCATCACGCAGCATGGGCTGACCATCCTTGCTCGCACTCACTAGGAAGTATCCATCCGGGGTCACACGGCTGCGAGACAAGAACGCAAACCCCCAGATCAGGTACAAACTCCACCTGTTCGAGCACACTTTGCAAGCACGTCGATCAAGCGTGTGCTTCCAATCAAAGTAACACGCTACCGGGGTGAGGGACGCCCCGTGCTAGCAGGAGCGACCCTTTGCCAAGACGCGTCCTGGCAAGCAAGCCCGCCGCTCCTCACCTATAGTTCACCTCCACGATCGGACGCGAGTGCCCGTGGCACACGGCGGGCTGCTGTGTCTTCTTGGCCGCGGGGGCCATCGCTCCCTCTTCCTTGCTGATGCAGACACGCTGGGATAGCACGCGCCGAGACCCGCAGCCCCCTGTCGAAAGAAACCCTATCTAACTAACAAAGAATAGAGAGGAGCGCGGCGCGGATGCCTGCGCTCGGAGTGATACTAGCGTCAAAGCTGAGTCTCTCATTACTACGGACGGAAGCCGCACGAATCGCCCAGCCCACCCGACCTGCTGCCGCACCGCTTCAGCGTGCCGTGGCAAGACTTGCAGCAGCGTGAGCACATATGAGCAGCCGCAGGTACTTTGATATGGCCCTGAGCATCTGGTTATACACAAGCAGGGTGCTTGTGCCAGTACCCTCCCTCGCCTTAACAAGCAGTTACAAAACGGTACCATGCTAGTGCGTGGTCTGATTGCCCAGTCACCGCCCGCCGTTGCCTACACTGATGTGTTACTAGACATCCAGGCTTCATGTCCCTGGCTTGACGGATAATGCACAGCGCCACTGCAAGGTATGTATATCCACTAGGCACTAGTCTGATCGGCTTTGGTCCACAATCACAGGGACACATCAAGGCAACAGGGCAGCACTTGGTTGCTGCGGCGAGTCAAGAAGTACGGAGGTTCCGCCACACCGCACATGTACAAGGGAATGCTGGGAAAAGTGCCGATCGTCCTCCTCGCGCCTGCACGCAAGGACGGCTCGCGGCGCCCAGGGCTGCAGTGCATCAAAAGGGGATGGCGTTGCGCCGGCGTACGGCTCTGCTGCATTTGCCGGCGCTGCTGGGTGATGCCGTCGTAATGTACAGGAAAAAGGCAAGTTTTCCAGGGTGCTGCTCAAAGCTCCACCAGAGGCCCCGACACATCCACCCAACAGCACAATGGACGGTGCTTCTGAAAAGAATATTGCTTGAGGAGATCGGAAAACGGCTCGGCGTAGGCCATCGGATTGAAAAGATGCACCTGCACGCCACCATGCCTCCATGCCCGCAGCGCCCTCCCTGCGTTGGGTCCCCTCGCGGGAGCCACGCCGGCGCGCGGGCGCTAACAAGGCCGCCATTGGTGAGGGCTGCCGTTGCCCGCCATTCAAGCAACCCGCAGCGTGCCCAAGAGCTCCGCAAGCCCCTGCGCTGCGTCGGGCTCGCGCCGGCGCCGCACCACGCTGACGGCCGGGGCCGCACGCTCGAGCGCCACCACCTCCTCCGCCGAGAGCGGGCAGCCGTGCAGCGCCAGCGTCCTGAGCCGCGGCAGGGAGGCGGCGAGCGCGCGCAGCTGCTGCGCGTCGACGCGGCGCCAAGACAGGTCGAGGGACGCGAGGGCGGGCAAGCCCGCGATCGCGCGCAGCAAGTGGGGCGCGAGGGGTGGCTGGGCCGCGGCGTCGTCGCGGCGGCACGTGGTCGCGGCGAGGTTGAGCTCCTGAGGCAGCGAAGGTTGTGGGCAGAGGCATCGCGGCGGCCCGGGCGGCGAGGAGGGTTTTAGGCACCGTGGACGATCGGCTGCCAGGGGGAGGGGGAGTGCCCTAGTGAGGCGCCTCCGTCGCGCAAGCGCTAACGCTTCAGCGAACCAATTGCTTGCAGCACGTGGCGGTTTGGCCAAGGGCCGAACTACCAAGCCGGCGCCCGCCTACTTTGAAGCCGCAGCAGGGAGCAGCGCCGGACGCTCCGCGTTCGCTCCTCAGGCGCCCCGCAGCCGGCCGCAGAGCTGGCAACCCGCCCGCCGTGGTCGTTCAACCCGGAACCCCCTCCCACCTGCAGCCACGTCATCCGCGCGACCGCCTCGACCACCGGCGGGCTGTACACGCTGCACCCGAGCGCCAGGCCCCGCAGCTGGCTCAGCCCCGCCAGCGCGGCGGCCCCGTCCGCCCCCAGCTCCGCGTGCGGCGCGAGCGCCAGCCGCTCGAGGGTGGCCAGCTGACTCAGCTCGCCGAGCCCGCGCGCGGTGACCCACGTGCCGCGGAGGTCGAGGGAGCGCAGGCCCTGCGCGTGGACGACCGCCTTTGAGAGGTGCTCGTCGCCAAAGTCCCAGGCCTTGAAGAGGCCCAGGTGCGCCAGGCGCGGCAGCGAGGGCAGCAGGGACTGCGAGGAGGGCGGGGGCGGGTACAGGGGTGAAACAGGAGCCGCGGCCAGGCAAGCGGCATGCTCAGAGCGGCGGCCGGACCAAGCCAGGCCCTGAAGCTCGCAAGCTGCTCTAGCATGCTGAATGCAGCATGTAACCATCCGGCTCTCGAGCGCCCATGCACCCTCCTGCCCCTGCAGTTGCTGCCGGTTGGCCTGACGCATGGGTCCACGCTCAGCCTTCCCTCCTGGCCCCCCTTTCCCCCTGACCCTGCCCACCCGCCGGCCACTCTCACCAGCAGCGCGCCGCCGGACACCTCGCAGCACTCGCGCAGCGACAGGGTCACGAGCCCCGAGAGGCGGCTGAGGTGGCGCACCCCCTCATCAGTCAGCTCCTCGTCGGTGCAGTGCAGCTCTGTCAGCTGCAGGGCTCAGGGGGAAGGGGTCGGGGGAGGGCAGGGGGTCAGAAAGCGTGTTGAGAAACCTTGAGAAACGGGAACGCGATGCGTGTGGCGGGGTGCCGCGGCGTTGCTGTTGTGTTTGTGATGCTGGCCGTGGTGGGGTTTGTGTTGTTTGCAATGGGTGGGGGGGAGG